CAGGCTTGGCGTCAGGAAGACCTGAGTTCAAAATTGACCTCAGACACTCACTAGCTGTGTGACCTTGGTCAAGTCACTTAACCCTATTTGCTTAGTTCCCTCATCTGTAAAATGAACTGGAGAAGGAAATGGCAGACTACTCCGCATATTTGCCAAGAAAACCCCAAATGGGGTCATGAAGAGTCAAACATGACTAAATGACTGAATAACAGCAAGCACATAATGTGTCAGTGGAAGGACTTGAACTCTGATGTTAGCTTTCTTTTGCCTAAGCCATGCTGTCACTGTACAGGATATGAATGAAAAGTTGATGGGAGAAACCTTCAAGGTTTCAAATTATTTCATCACTATTGATTTCAGTTGGCAAAAACCTTTTCTATTGGTTTTTTTTTATTATTGATAACAAACTTGGGAAAGAAGACGTAGAGTAGGGATTCTTAGCCTTTTTTTTCCCCCTTGTCATGGACTCTTTCAGTAGTTTGGTGAAAACTATGGACCGCTTCTCAGAATCATATATTTAAGTAATTGAAGGAAATGCTGAAATTTGTTTAAAGAAAAAAATCACATCTTTATTCCAATATAATTGGCATTTGTAATCATACCTATTTTGTTTTACGTATTTAAAACGATTATAATTATGGCTAGCATTATATAGCACTTTAAGGTTTGCAAAGTACTTTACAAATATTTCATTTTATTCTTACAACAACCCTGGGAGGTAGAAGCTATCATTATCTCAGTTTTACAGATGAAAAATCTGAAGCAGACAGGATTTAAGAAAGATGCAACTGAAAAAACAAATGAAGAAATAATAAAAATAATTACTAAAATATAAATAATTAGTAGAGGTGTAATTTTTCCCATCCAAGTTCATACACCCCTTGAAATCTATCCACAGATCCCCTGCCAGCCCCTGGCATAGAGGTAACTCTAGCATTATAACTATACCTTTATTAAGAGACATTGTTAAGGTTATTTTGATGACTCACTCCCTTGTCAGAAAATTTATAACCAGAAGTAGAAATGACCTACTAGTCATAGGACTTTGATAACAAGGATTACAGTGTGAAATGATTAATGAAAAATCCCCCAATAAAGTCTCATTCCAGTGCGTCATTGTGACGTGGAGGTGACCCTTCATTCTCAAAGGCTATGCCATTAGTGAAAGCTCGGGCAAATTCTACTCTTCTGGAAAGGCTTAACCCTGTTTGCCTCAGTTTCCTAATTTGTAAAATGAGCTGGAGAAGAAAATGACAAACCATTCCTTTGCCAATGCCAAGAAAACCCCACATGGGGTCACGAAGAATTGGATACAACTGAAAAAACCGACAAACAACATGATGTCAGGGATACAGCAAGCAACTTTGGCCTTACTGCTAATGTTTGCCCTCTGAGATTAGTTTCCATTTACTCTCTATATATTTTATATGTATGTAGTTTGCATGTTGTCACCCCATCAGAATGTGATTGCCATGATTTTTTTTGTTTGTTATTTTGCCTTTCTTTTTTTTTTCCAGCCCTTGACATAGTGCCAGGTATATAGTAAGTCTTTAATATACACTTATTAGAGTCAAAGGTTAGCTAGTTTAAAGACACTAGCTACCAGATGCTAAAGTGTTTGGGGTTGCAGATACTCATATTAAAACACTGACTAAGGCGCAGCTAGGTGGTGCAGTGGATAGAGCACAGGCCCTGAAGTCAGGAGGACCTGAGTTCAAATCTGGCCTCAGACCAAACACTTGACACTTACTAGCTGTGTGACCCTGGGCAAGTCACTTAACCCCAATTGCCACACAAAAAAAATACTGACTAAAATGTAGAGGCATTGAGAGCTGCTTCTGTAGAGAGAGTACTAAGTAAAATACAGTCAAATAGTCCAGGAAACATAGATGTCTCTGGAAGTTTTGGAGATGGTCAAAGGTAGAGACAGGATTAGGTTGAGGCCAAATTTAAGGGAAATGGGAGAGAATGCTGGTCCTTGGGCTCCATATTCACCACTCTGTCAACCACAGCACACTGTCACTAGGAGCTCAGTTTGTTGTTGCTGTTGTTTTAATTTATAAAACAAAGACAATAATGCTTGAGCCACCTCTCAGGATACATTCACCCAAACTCCCATGTTCAGAACTTGAAGCCTATTTTTGGTGCTTCCTTTCCCTTTATAGGATGCCAAATCCTCTTGAATATATACCTCTTCAGCCTCTCTTGCATTTCTTTTTCCTGCACTGCTACAACCCTAGTGTAGGTCTCCATTATCACCAATCTGAGACTATGGCAAAGGCTTATTTATGCATTTTCCTACTGCCACTTGGCTCCAATGTATCCTTTAAATCTCTTTTATAATAACTTGATCACAGAAACACATTAATTATACCTGTAGGGAAACTTGGTGTTCATTTCAGGGGTTCTTAAGCTGGAACCCTCTTAAGTAATGGATCCCCCAAGTAGTCAATACATAGATTTCAGGGGTTCATGAACTTATATGGAAAAATGACATCTATTCCAATGTAATTGACGTACTTTGTAATCTTACCTATTTTAGGCCTTTATAATGTTCTTCTGAAGCATACTATTTGCTCTTTTTTTTCTTCTGTTTTGTTTTGTTTCCTTTTTTTTTGATTCCTCCTATTGGTTCTAATTCTTCCTTAAAACATGACTAAGGTGAAAATATGTTTAAAAGAAATGTGTATGTAGAGCCTATACCAGATTTTGTGCCGTCTTGGGGATGGAGGTGGGGAGGGAGGGAGAGAAAAGTTTAAAACTCAAAAGCTTATGGAAGTGACTGTGGATAACTCAAAGTAAATTAATAAAAAGAAATAAAAAGAACTCAAAAAAAGTTCTGAGAAGAATAAAAGCTATCATTTGTTGTAGCTACATAAATACATAGCACTTTATAAATCTATACATAAATATAAATAAATGCATAGCACTTTAAAATTTGCAAATACTTTATGAATGTAAATAAATATATATTTATAAGTATTTTCTCATCTTATCCTCACAACAACCCTGGAAAGTTGGTGCTATTATTATCCCAATGCTACTGACAAAGAAATTAAGGTGGAGGTTAAATGACTTGCTCAGGATCACACAGCTAGTAAGAAGGGTTCTCTTACTCCAGGTCCATTCTATCCACTGCTGAAAAGGGATGGAGATTCACCAACTAGCTGAAAAGGGATCCTTAAGTTCCATTAGCCTGTTGAAGGAGTCCATGACACGAAAAAAGAAGCCCTGATCTAGTACAATTCTCTCATTTCACAGATGAGGAAAATGAAGCCTAGAGAAATTAAATGCATTATTGCTCAAGGTCACACAGGTAATGAGTAGAAGAGGCAGTAAGACAATCAACTGTCCTGGGATCCTTCCAGCTTCATGGTCCTTTGTTTAGCAATTCTGCACTTTTTTTTTAGCCCATGATTTCATCCCTGTACTGACCTCTACGGATGCAACTTGGCACCTTCTCTACAATTTGTAGTCATAGACTGTTGCTTCTTGTACTGGGAGGGACTTGCCAATATACGGAAGTGATAGAATTTGAACCCAGGGTTTCCTCACTCTGAGGTCAGTTCTCTACCCATCTTGTTAGGATGTTTTGTTCAATGCGTGGTCTTCTCATATAATATTGCCTGTTAAAGGTATCTGAGTTTGAGTCATACACCTTTTATTAGACCAGGAACTCCATGAGGGCATGAGATGGCTTTTATGCCATCTCAGCTTCTATCTACCTCCGGGACTAGCCTAGCACCTGATATAAATGCTTAATAAATGTTTATTGAATGAATGAATATTTAATGAGAATACTTATGTGAATGGATAACAGAATCTTAGCTCTAGGGCTGAAAGGGCCCTCAGAGGGCCCTCCAGTCCCCTTCATTCTACAGATGAAGATACCGAGGCCTAGGGAACTTCTCCAAGGTCACTCCCAAAGTCCTCTGACTTCCAGAGCCAGGGAGAACAATGTAAGAGAATGATGATGATGGTGATGATGATGGCTTTCAGTAAATGCGTTTGCTGTTTGTGCCCCACGGGATCTGCAACCATCAAAGGGCCTCGGGAAAAGAGCGGCTAATCCAGAGGCCCTCCGGGGCCACATACCCTAACCAGCCTCCCCTAATCATTCAAGAACTCCGGTGGTTTTGCTCCGGGTGGCTTTTTCCCAGGAAGTTGGGCCAAGGCTGAAGTCCAGAATTCCAAGTACAACAGCAGCCTAGGTCTACCATCCTTCTCCCTCTTCTCTTTTTGCTTCTGGATTCTAGGGCAGGGCCAGCTGGGCTGGAGCGCCGCGCTTTGACAGCTACGGGTGAATCGGAGTAGCTCAGAACACGCCTGGTTAAAAGTCCCAGAGGCGAGCCCCGCCTTCTGAGCCTTCTGATTGGCTAAAGGGGTGAATTGGCTGGATGGATGGATGGATGGATGGATGGATGGATGGATGGATAGTCGGGTGGGTGGGTGGTTGAAGGGAGGACGGAAGGAGAGAGGGGGCGGTGTGGGGTGTGTGAACGGTGCGTGTGTGAGCGGTTCCCTCTGCTGCGCCCAGGCTCGCATCCATCGGGCCCAGCAGAGGGAGGAGGAGGTGGAGGGGAGGGGAAGGAAGAAGAGGAGAAAGAGGAGAGGGAGGAGAGGAGAAAAGGAGGAGGAGGGAGAGAAATGTTCATGTGTGCGTGAGAACCTGCGGGTTACCGGTGTCCAGACACGAGCTGGGGCGCAGACCTGTAGGGCCGCTAGCCCCTCGGGTCTGGGGGGTGCGCTCGAGGACTGGGGTGGTGCGTGTGTGGAGGAGGGGGCGCAGCGTTGCGAGGCGTTGGCAGCGGCCGCGGCGGGAGAGGGTGCAGCCCCGAAGGCCGGCTCGGCCCCCGCCTCTTCCAGACGCCGGCCTCCCTCCCCCGAAGGCTCGCACCTCCTCCTACCTTGCCCCCAGCCAGCAAGTCCCTTGCTAGCTGACACCGGCCCGGGAGCGCTGGGGCTAGGGGACGGGGAGGGGGCTGCACGAGACAAAGGGGGCGCGGGGGAGCAGCTGGCGATGGCTTCTCTGAGCCTGGGGGGGCTGAGCGTGAACCGTGGCGGCGGCGGCAGCAGCAGCACCAAGAAGAGCCTGAACGCCCGCAATGCTGCAGTGGAGAGAAGGAACCTGATCACGGTGTGCAGGTAACGAAAGCCCCGGGAAAGACCGGGAGCAAGGGTCGGGGGATGGGGGAGCCCCGCTGCAGGTGAAGCCTGCCCGGGATTTCTCCCCCGCCCTCTCCTCCTTCTGCCGGCCGGTGCCCCTCGGGAAGAGGACGCGGAGCATCCCTCTGCAGGGACCAGGCGGGAGGAGGAGCGAGCGGCTTCTTTGCCGATGGCCAAGTCCCCCGGTGCTGGCTTTTCTTACTCCAGCTGCTCACGTAGCCCTTTCCCCTCCCCTCCCCTCCCCTCCCCCTACCAAGCTGAGTTACCTGCTGCACCCTCTTGGCCCACCTTCCTCCTCCCCACCTCCGCGCCATCGGCCAGGTGCAGGGGAGGCCTGGCCTACAGGGAGCAAGAAGAGGACCGAGGGGAAGATGCAGTCGTCTGCTCTTATCTCTCTTCTCCTTCTCCTATCTCTCTCACTTTGGCCTGCTGCTCGGGATTTTTTCCCGGGCTTCCTTCCTGGGAGCCAGGAGAGAGGGTCACAACAGTGGAATGGTCCAGGGTGTGTCCTTAGGGGACACTTAACATAGCTTTCTTTAGGGCCTGAGACACCCTCACCTTCCCCAAACCTCGGTCTGCGGGGGAGAGGGGTGGGGAGTTGTAGGGTGGCGAATGAGGAACGAAGTCCTGGATTAATAATGGACGAGAAGTAATAGTGAAAAGGAACAGTCTTGCGTACGGGTGCGGCCTCCATTTAAGAGGTGCTCCCGAGATGGAGCAGAGGACCACTTTTGGTACAATTATTCCATAGGAAAGGAGGGCAGTGGTAAATAACTCAATGACATTCCAATCATTTTTCCTCACTGGCTTTTAAGAAAGTAATCATGTAGCAGGTTTAATCAGAACTTTGAGAATATATTTTGTGGTGGGAGGGAAGATCTGTATTCAGGTGTTGCCTTTGACAGATATTAGAGACCCTGGGCAAATCTCTTTCCTTTTCTCTGCCTCCAGCCTGAGATCCTCTATGTCTATTAGAGATGCAGGCTGGGTGGTACAGTGGGTAGCAAGTTGGATTTGAAGTCAGGAAGACCTGAGTTCCAATCTTGCCTCAGACATTTGCTTAGCTGTGTGATCCCAGGGAAATTACTTTTTCTCCTTGAAATCCACTGAGTGTCCTGAAGTTGGTGATGGGGGTAGGGGAATATTGGAGGTAGGAAATGTTCTAAGTATGTATCCGTTTTACTTCCATTTAGTTTCATACCAGACAGATCTTTCTAGTGATGGCTTCCAGTTTTAAAAGTTAGTGTGTAAGAGCTAAAATGCATGATGTATGTATGTCGTCATGAGGCAATGTAGACAGAGCAACCTCAGTATCCAGAAGACCAGGATTCAAGTTCTATCTCTGACAAATACTGACTGAGAGACCCTGGACATATCCATTAACCTCTCCGCCTCCAACCTGAGACAATCTATGTCTGTTAGAGTCAGGCTATGTGGTACTTTTGTAGAGTGCTGGATTTGGAGTCAGGAAGATCTGGGTTCCAATCTTGCCTCAGACGTTTGCTACCTTTGTGACCCTGGGCAAGTCTTAATCTCTCAGCCTCAGTTTCCTTACCTGTAAAACAAGGATAATAGCATCTACCTCATAGGGTTGTTGTGAGGATGAAATGAGGTAACATATGTAAATCACTTTGTAAATCTTAAAGCTCTAAATGTTATCATTAACTGCAAAGCAGGAGCCAAACTGCATTGTTAGAGAAAATGTCCTCATTGGGATGCCCCTACATCAGTGAAATCATATTCTGATTTCCTTTTCTTCCCCCCACCACCCAAAAAAGAGGACATCCCTATTTAATTTGCAAAGGAAAGAAGTATTAGGTTATTTCAAAAGTGTGTTTTACATAGCCGTATGAAATGGCTGTTCATTTTAGAGATAATCACCACCCATGTGATACTTGCTGGTTGTAGGCAAAAAATGTAGGCTCTCCTTTGTCTATTTTTTGTCCACCATTGACCTCTAGAATATTGTATGTTCTCTTATTCTTTGTATTTTGTTTCTTAAAGTTAATTTTTTAAAAAATCAGACAGGAGAATTTATCTTTTATACTGGATTTTCAATAAATATGGGATTATGTTAGTGAAGATTCTCCCTAAACTCCTGTAGAAGAGTTGGGAAGGCTATGGAATTTGGAATCACCTCTGACACTATGACCTTGGACAAGTCACTTGCCCTTAATTTTCTCATTTAATATGAGAAGATTGTACCACATGATCTCTAAAAGTTTCCAGCTCTAATAGTCCATGATTTGGTGACAGTAGTATAGTATATATAGCGAGGTATAGTGAAAAGAGTGAGTGATTGTAAATCTGTGCATCTGAGGTCAAATCTGATTTCAGCTACTCAATGTTAGTGCATGTCTGGACACATTGACCTCAGTTTCCTTGTATGTGAAATGGGAACTGCATTAGATCATCTCTAAGAACTGCGCCAGATTTAAAGTCTATGGTCTTTCTCATAGTATAGCCAACTTGCCAGGCCCAGGAATACTGGCTAGTAGAGAACAATTTAAGGGTTTTCTTAACCTGAAGTACATGAACATATTTTTAAAAACATATTTTGATAACTGTACTTCATTATGATTGGTTCATTTTATAATCCTGTGTATCTTATCTTATGCATTTAAAATATTATTTTGAGAAGGGGTCCATAGGCTTCACCACACTGCCAAAGGGGTCCATGACACAAAGGGATTAAGAAACTCTGATTTAAAGCCATTCAAAACCAAGTGAGCTACTAGAAGGAATCTTAGAAATCAGTTATTCAGTGGTTAACCCTGCTTGTGCCACAGACCCTTTTGGAAGTCTGGTGAAACCTATGGACTTTTTCATCCAAGGGCACTTTCAAGGTCTCTCTGAAGAACGTTGGTATCGATTGTGAGACATGAGAGATGCTGGCACAGGACTTGTCCAGCATGGAGTGCCAGTATCAAAGAAGGTGCTGTGCTTTGTGAGCAAAGCAGAATTGCAGTAGCTCAAAAGAAATGTGAGGTGCGCATATTTAGACATCTCCTTACCAAATGTTCATACTGATTATGTGTGCCTGACCTGTAGGAGTGCCTTCCAAGCTCGTATTGGTTTGATTGGCATCAGTCTGACCCTGTACATTGACCTTGACATAGTGATGTCATTTTGGTCCTCTTCCATTACAAAAGATTGTAATATATGCATTTAAAACGAGTATAATAAGATACAGGATTACAGTGCATAAAATAAGATAAGAATTACAAAGGAAACCTGTTCTATTGAAATAGTTATTAAAAAAAGCATTTTAAGTTCACAGAACCCTGGTTAAGAATCCACCCCATGTAGTCCGGCCTATAATTTTATAAACAAGAGAAGTAAGATTCACAGACAAGGTGAACGCTCATTATTGGCAGACCACGTCACTGGCAATGTTTTGCACTAGACTTGTGGCTAACGAGAACTCTCTTTTTTGCATCCAACGGCGATCGTTTATGGTGTGGGCCATGTAAAGGTCAAACTGGTCTTGATTCTTCTGGGGAACATGTTCTGTCTGCTCATAGCTTCTGTTTTTCTGCCCTTGAGCTTTTTGGCTAGTACTGGTAACATACCTTCATTGGGAGGAGGATTAGGAAAGAAGGAGGTGGAGACACTTTAATGAATCACTTTGAAATGTTTTTAGGAGTTATGTTAGGCACATTTTCCAAGTGGGAGGAGCAAAGAGGATCCCTATTTATGTGTTTCTATTGCATGCTAATTATAATGTGTTCTGCTGAACTAAACATTTAAACAAGTATCTTTTTTTGTTAAAAATTTACATACATCTTAAGTATTATGGTATGTATATATACATATTGGTGTATATATTTTAATATGTGTATATATTAGTTTAATTTAATACCTTTAATTTAATACCTTAAGGCCCTTAATAAATGATTATTGAATTGAGTTGAGGGCTTACAGTGTTACATTGATTATTCATTGGGGGCAAACTTGCCAAAACTTTTCTCTCACTACCCTAAATAGAACAGACTTGATGGTGTATTCGAAATATCTTTATGTTCCATTTCCAGAAATTCGACTTATTTCCCAAACGTCCTGGTAGTCCTGAGCAAGTTCCAGAGAGCCATTTAGGGCCATTTAAAAAAGTATCTAGACTCTTAGTTCTTGACTGAAGTGGAGCAGAATAAACAAAGCAAATATTTTGTCTGTGCCTCTAGCCTTTGAAAGCTCCATTGTCAGATCCTGAATGTCTTAGGAATGCTTCCTAATGAGTTCTCTGTTCCATTACAAGGTGACTCAATTGATTTGGGAGCCAGGTAATGGTAGAAAGAGGTCTGGAATCAGGAGACCTGGATTCTAGATCCAGTTCTGCCACTAATGAGTTCTGTGACCTTTGGCCAAGTCACTTAAACTTTCTTTGTCTGAAAAATGGGCACAAGGATAGCTAGATGCCACAGTGCATACAGCATCTGGGCCTGCTCTCAGGAAGACCTGAATTCAAATGTGGCCTCAGACACTTACTAGCTGTGTGTCCCTGGGACAGTCACTTAACCCAGTTTCCTCATCTGTAAAATGAGCTGGAAAAGGAAATGGCAAGCCACTCAAGTATCTAGCCAAGTCAGACATGACTGAGACAACTCAACAACAACAACAACAACAAAATGGACATAAATAATAGCACTTATTTCACAGGTTATTGTGAGGATCCGATGAAATAATGTATGTAAAGCATTTGGCACATATGTATTTTATTTATATATATGTATATATATGGATGTATATGTTAGCTGCTATTGTTCTGTAGACAAAGAAAGCGAAGAGCATATTTAAGAGAATATCAAATATAGCACTGCTCTACATAGCAGGTACTTAATACATATTTATTGAATTAAATATGATCTTGACAAGATGCTTTCCTGGGCCCTTTTCTGTCTTTATGTTCTCTCTCTCTCTCTCTCTCTCTCTCTCTCTCTCTCTCTTCTCCCTCTATGAATATATATGTGTATATATACACA